CTCTCTCTCTCTCTCTCTCTCTCTCTCTCTCTCTCTCTCTCTCTCTCTCTCTCTCTCTCTCTCTCTTTCAGTACTGGGGATTAAACCTAGGGCTTGGCACTGAGATATCTCTCCAGCATTTTGAGATTCTGTTTTTCAAATTTTGAGGCAGGGTTTTGCTAAGTTGCCCAGGCTGGACATATTTGGGTTACTCCTACCACAGCCTTCTAGAGTGCTGGGATTATAGGCCTGGGACGACATGTCCACAGCTCCTCTGGTTCTGAGATAACAGGGCAGTCTGAAGCTCTTTTGTCTACTTGGTTCATTAAGAATTCTAGATTTAATCATGCCTGAAGGAAGTATGTTTCTGGAACTTTTAGCTACAGGAGCCAAAAAAGTACTAATTTGCCTATGCCAGTTTTGAACTAAAGTTCTATCACATGCTATGTAAAGAATCTTGACTAAAATATAGACTAATATTGTTTTTTTCTGCAATTCCAGCAAAACATTTATAAAACTTCCTAGTTGAAATTTTCTTCAGATACTATGGCAACTCCCAATATCTTAAGTAGTATAAAATCTTAGCATTAAAGAAAAATATTTAAAAAGGTACTAAAACATCTATTTCACAATGTTTTATTTTATTTTGCCATATAATGCAATATTCCTTTGAAATATATTCAGTGTGTGAAATGAATTCAGAGTCATTTGGAATCTCAAGGCTTGTCCGGGAAAGGATACTGACTACACAAGACACTTCAGTGCCTTTGTGAAAAATAATTCATATGGCTTAAAAGAAAAAAGGCAAAGCCAGGTGCAGTGGCACACAACTGTAGTTCCAGCTGCTTGGGAGGCTGAGGCAGGATGACTGCAAGTTTGAGGCCAGCCTGGGCAACTTAGTGAGACCTTTTCTTAAAGAATTTTTTAAATGACAGGATGTAGCTCAGGGGTAGAGCACTTGCTAGCATCATGATAAAATCCTTGGGTTCAATCCCTAGCACTACTACTACAAACAAAACAAAACAAAACAAAACAACAAAAAAAAAGGAAACAAAAATATAGAATACAAGCAGGTAATTCATGAAAGAGAAAACACAAATAGCCATTAAGTAAATGAAAAGATGCTCAGTCTCACTATTTGAAAAATTTCAATTTATAACAAAAATTAACAGACTTTAAAAGAATATATTCCATGAAGTAGTGCTGGTTCGGGGCAGGGTTAGGAAACACATTCTCACATACTACTGAGAATGCAAGTCAGTATAGCTGTGTTAGAGAGAAAGTTTGAGTGTCTCTTGTCAAAGCTGAGCTTACTCCCAGGACGTAAGGTTAAATTAACATTCAAAACCAAGTCAGTATAGTCACTGTGTTGATAGTTAAAAAAAAAGAAAAGAAAAAAATAATACAATCATCTCAGTCGTTGCAGAAAAAACACTTGATACAATTAAAAAGCTACTTGTGGTATACAATCCTTGAAACCTAGAGGTAGGAAGCAATTTTATTAATTTGGCAGAGGGTATCTACAATAAATCAATGGCAAATATTTTATTTAATGATGAAATATTCAAAGCTTTCCCTCTAATGCTTGCTGCCTCCACTTTTATTTAGCTGTACTAATGGTCCTGGCCAGTATCACAAGACAAGACCCCCACCCCATATAGAGTTTGTAAGGAAAGAAACACCGCCCCTCCCATTTCCTGACTTGAGGGCTCGTCACCTGCGTATGTTCACTGTGTAATATTTCATCTAGCGTTACGCTTTGGTTTGTATATTTTCAGTAGAAAATTATTACATACACAAAATTAAAAAGATGTAGCAGATCTTTACTTATTGACATCGAAATATGCTCATGCTATAGCAGCAGTGATGGGGAAACAGGCTATAAAACTGCATTTTCAAAAAAAAAATTTTGTTGACACATAGCAATTTATGGGGTTGAGAGTAATTTGGGGCATCTCTTGTCAAAGCTGGGTAGCATCGTGATACTTGTGTACAATATGTAATGATAATATCAGGGTAACTATATCACCTCCCACATTAATCATTTCTTTATGTTTGAAACATTTGAAATCCTTTCTACTAGCTATTTTGATGCAGTCAAATTGTGCTAACCATAGTTATCCTGCTATGCTATTAGAAGTTATACCTTGCATCCAACTGCACCTCTGTAAACTTTATTTTCTGAGTCTATTAAAATGTATATCTCATATATAAAATATTTGAATATGTGAAGAATATCTTTGAAGGGATATTCGTAAAATGTAGAGCATTGGTTGTCTCTGGGGAGCGGAACTGAGAAACAGTGTGATCTGTATTTCACTGTGCGCTCTTTTATTTAATTAAAATTAACAATAAAAAATGTCATTGTATGTGCATGGGTTGCAGCAGTGACTAGTCTGAAGGGCAACTTTGGATGTGCAAGGCCTTGTGTATTTTTAAAAGAAAACAATCATTTAATCACTTCGTGATGCATATTTGTAGCTTCCATTCTTGTCACTGAAATTATTCGTTGCCTCTCAATGCATTTAAAAGTGATCCAACTCTGCAGACCATGCCTGACCTATTTTTTTGTGTTCTAGCAAAGCTGTACTGAGTATACCTCACGGGGTACTGATGCTGCCTGGGAGGTGAGATGGAGGTCGCTGTGATTCTGTTTGATTCGATCTGTTCTCATTCCATGAGGTTCAACAATATACCCTCTGGAAACTCAACCCTACGTATCATTTCACTAACACCGAGAGCATTTCTGTCCAAATCTCTGCAAGACTAGTCTCTGAACCGTGCAGCGATGGTCACATCGACCCCACTGAGCTCACATTCTTACCTGTGGCAGGGAATTTTCATTGTAGGGTAAGTTTACCTGCCATTAAAGGTACTATAATACATTAGTTTAGACATTAGGCTTGGTCTTAGAGAGATACAGCTCTTGTCATGTCTCATTCTCAGGGTGTTTCATGAGCAAGAAACCCTTGAGAGTATTTCCTTGCCTGTAAAATGAGGATGACTTAAGTATTTATGTCTTATGGTAACTGTGATTAAGTGAGGCAGTAGATAAATGTCTTATATACCCGATACTTCATATCAGCTATTATTTTCATTCTCATAATTTTATAAGCACCTATTCATTAAGTAAATACTTAATGCATTAGGCTATACTTTGGGTAAGGAATCTGAAGTATTGGATCTGGATGACATGATTCATTTATGTGAAATAATGAATTGGAAAGATATGTATAAAAATGATAAATTGTGTGGTAATGATTAGAGACCAGAGAATAGAGATGTGTTGATTGAATACTGATAGAATCATACTGTTGGGAGGTGGATCTTCCACTGACCTGGACAGATGGATTTAACTGAGTGCACACAAAGAGAGGGGTTTCTAACCAGAGAACAAGGACAACGCGCAGGAGCGGAGATAAGCATGGCGTGGACCAGAGCACGGGAGTCTGTCGTCTCCACTTTATTCCTTGACATCTTTTTCTCCTGAAGGGAGCAGAGATTTCTTCCCCAACTTTCAGCACGGTCTATGATAATGCTCTAGGTTCCAAGAGCTGCATTCTCCCTGTCTGTGAGGTGAAGGCGCTCATGGCCCTGTGTGGCTTTAGAGTCAAATGGTCCACACCTGGTACCCGATTTTCTTAAGTTTTACTCACCATAGCTCATTAACACAATGGACCCCCCGAGCATAACAATAGCATGTAAAGCCTCAGTATAAATCACGGCTGCCAAACCACCTGAAGGGAAAGAGGAAGAAATATGCAGGCCACATCTGACTCTGTTGACAGTAACTTCTGAATCTGTATGCCCGTCTTCTCCCAGACCTTCCCACTCAGATTTTGACCCCTTTAAGTCAGTAGGTCTTTCAACCACTTGTGCTTAGTTTTGGTACATCCTATTTTCTCTCTTCAGGAGAGATCTCTTCATGATCATTTGTGAGATTTTTATCTTGCCCCTCTTTGTCCCAATTTCCCTATACTTTTTTTTTTTTTTCAGATGGATGAAAATCTGGGAAGTTTTTCTAAGCCAGAATGTATATCTTTCACCACAAAAGTTCAATTTGGAAGTAACAGCAGCATTTCTGGTATCTACCTATGGGATAGTACCCTGTCTCCAATTGTGACAACCAAAAATGCCTACAAACATTACCAAATGTCCCCTGGAAAGCTAAATCGAATTTATCTTCCCACATATTGTGAATCATTGATTGAATACATTCTACCCCACTCTGATTTTCTCCATGTGATTCTGGTGAACTACTACAGACACACATCAGAATCCCAGATTTGCACTGTAGCTTGGGAAAAACAAAACAAAACAAAACAAAAAAATAGAACGACAACAACTCCCACTCTTAATAACTAGGTAAAGTCTGCTTAGGACAGAACTGTCTACATAAAAGATACAAAGGATTGGCCAGTGGCTGAAGGACCATGTCTCTACTTCATTCCCTTTTTGCAGTCCCACTATGTTACTGGGTGATCTGCAATGTTAGGCCCCACTTTGCCGTAAACACAATTGTTGCTGACCTTGTTTAATGCCTCAAAGATACTCTGATAACCCAATCTGGTTTTTAATGGTAGGGTACTACTGTCTTTGATACCCCTTCCTTCTTTATTTGCCCTGTGATGCAGACAGGGAAAATGCAATAGCTAGAGACTGCTGCTTCAATGTCTATTAGGACTTTGATAAGTAGAGTGTGTTGGATCAGTATAAATCCCCGCACTGCTGAAGTAATCTCACCTGTGATGGTATAAATGCCAGCAATCACCAGCAATAGCAGTGTGATCTGGTAAACATCCACATCCCAAGCAATTTTCATAAACATGGCACCATAACAGACTTCTACCTGAAGTGAGGAGAAGGTAAAAAAGCTGCATTTTCATTTCCAGTGGAATCAAAAGTCCTAGGAGAAAGAGCGGTGGCGGGGAAGCATGGCGCCCCTATGCAACAGGTGGTCTCTGGCTAGCATCCCATCACCTGTGGACACCAGGTGAGGACTATCTGAGTCTTTTACCCCACAAATTCAGCCAAGGTCAGCGTTTTATGGCTTGAGTTAACCCAACTCATCCATTTAACGCCATTTAGCCTCTTTTACAGAATGGTCTCAGAATGTGGAATGTACTCAGTTGTTTTTACAGCTCTGCCCCTGGGAAAAAGCCATGAGGACGGCTTCTTAAGAATCAGCAACCTTTCTGACCGTAGGGCCAGATGATAAATATTATAGGTGCTGTGGGCCACCACTGTGTCTGTTTTTTTTTTAACAACCTGTTAAAGCTATAAACATCATTAGCACAAGGGCTGTACAAAGCAGATCATTAGCTGGATTGGCCTGTGACCACGTTTGTTGATCCCTGGCGTAGTTGACACTGATTCTGAAACATCTGCACATTTAACTGGCTAATCTAGTGCTTTGTTAGTCTAGTGTCCAAAGCCAAGGATACAATGGGAGGATTCGTCCATTCATTTACTCACCAAATCCTTACCAAGTGCCAGTCATGTTGTAGATATTCAACAGGCTTCAGAACACACAAGTTTATCAAAACTTAGCCTCCGTCTTTAAGGAGCTTATTTTGAGTGAAGGAAAGAGACTAACACACAGGCGTAGTCTGTGTTGTGTGAAAATGCAACTCCTTTGGTTATGCAAAAAAGAAAATCTATCAAGAGCCTTCAGTGTTAAACATGGTCTCAGCACAGGAGGTAACGCAGCGAGCAAGTCAGGCCAGGCCTCAGACTCAGGGGGTTTGCATTGAGACACAGAACAGATAACAAGAAGGCACACAAGTAAGTTACTCTCGCATGGTGACAAGCATTACAAGAAAAATAGAAAATAGAGCCACGACTAACTAGTCATACCCTTGGAAGACTTCTCCAAGGAGATGACATTTCTCCTTGAAGGAGTGATGAGGAGTCATCCACATAAAAAACTGCCTCTGCTTTTTATTTTTTGCAAAATGTTGTTAAACCTTTAATAGTAACATTAAGCACTATTAAACGAACTTACATGGTAGAGGTCCAAAAGTAATTTACGTAGTCCCAGAGTAAACTGCTAGGATAATCTAGTAGAGTCCTGAGTTCTACCGGTTGGTTTTTAGGTTTTGCTTTTTGTTTTTACTGTGTTTTTTTGGGGGGTGGGGAGGGGTGGGAGGTTCTCTTTCTTGGGTTGGCTTTTGTAAAACTCACCAAGATCCTAGTGATGACATCGATGAGTATGGACAAAATAGAGACGAAGACCTGGATCCGGACACTACCAAACCTCTTTCTCAGATATTCTGGCAGTGTCGCCACCTGTTCAAACAAGAGAGGTCAGCGTGAAATAGTGTAGAGAAGGCTGAGCCACAGGAATGAGCCCACTCACAAGTGGTGGTTGTCACAGAGACCACGCTGATGGTTGGTGTGGTGTAGAAATACAAAAGGTGGGGTCACTGCCTCTGGCAGCAGTCAAGATGGGAAATAGAAGGAAGAAAGGAAATACTGCTATCTACAAAAGGCTTAGAGTCCAGCCTCCTGTTCAATCTTAGGAATGCAGAAGGAAATCCAGCTAACTGAAAATGCTTAATGATGACGAATCATATTTACAGAATAATCATAGAGAAAAGGCAGTGCCTTGTCATATACTGCAAAAATAGCCAGTGCTCAAGGGACATGGAAACTGACCCTACAGCTTCCCAGTCTGTCTCTTTGCCAGCACTGCCAGTCTGGGTGCTGGTGTCTCAGACGATCTTATTTTGTTGCTCCGTTGCCTTGAGCTGTGCACACACCATGAGTCAGGGGCTGTGCCCTGCTCTCCATGCCCGTTTTGTTCCCAGGTCCTACACAGTGCCTGGCTCGTGGAAGGTGAATTAAAAATTCTTAAACAAATATTATCTCACTCTCTCCTCTGATGATCCTTATATGCTCTCGTCCATCTATGTGGATGACTGCTTTTAAATTTTAATTCAGATCTCACCTGCTCGATGAAGACTTACCTGGAAGCGTCACAGCGACCTTGTGTCCTTTTCTAAGCATCTATAACTTTTTAAGTTTTCATCTGTTATTTGGCTCTCAATCATATCATGCCAAATGCAGCTCACTTTTTCATTGAGTTCTAAGCTTCCCAAGATGCTTTTGTATCTATTGTTGGTATGAGTTTGCTAGGATGCCATAACAAAGTAGGGTACTTTGGGAGGCTTAAACAATGAACAGCTTATTTCCTCATAGTTCTGAAGGCTAGAAGTTCAAGATTATCAGCAGGATTGGTTTCTACTGAGGGTTGTGAGGGATGGATTCATTTTAGGCCTTGCTCCTGGGCTTGTCAGTGGGTGTCTTCTGTTTTTTTTTTTTTTCACTCTGTCCTGATTTGTGCCTAAATTTCCTCTTCTCATAAGGTCATACTGGATTAGGACCCACTCTAATGACCTCGTTCTGTTGTCACTACTTTTGTAAAAACCTTATTTCCAAATGCGATCACATTCTGAGATAATTTTCCTGGGTTTATGGCTTTGAAATAGCAAGTGGTATCCTTGGTGGCAAATTAGTCTTTCCAATTTTTAAATGTCCTCTATAAGTTTAAAAAAAAAAATTTAACAGCTCTGGGCTTACAGAATTTGCTTACAGAATTCTTTCATTCTGCAGCTATGGTTTGATGAATTTAGAAGCATATACACAGCCGTGTAATCTCCACCACATTCATGATAGCATTTTTAAGAGAGGTCCCAGGAAGCCCTTCAGGTTTCGCAGCCAAGGCCTTCACTCCATCTCTGATAGAGACAACCAGTGTCAGCTGTCGTCAGCATTAACTTTTCTAGGATTTCAAAAGAATGGAACCGTACAAGATGAGTTTTTCTTTTTCGTCTTACTTCTTTCAGTTGGCCTGATGTTGAGATCACCCGTGTAGTTGCACAATTTCTCTTTCACTGAGATGGATGCTATATTATAGGGTGTTTATTCATTAGCCCACTGCAATTTACATGATTTCTAGGTTTACATGAATAAAATTTTCAATTGAATTTACATGATTTTTAGGTTTACATGAATAAAGTTGCAACCTTTGTGTACAAATCTGTATGTGGACATGTTTTCCTTTCTCTGGGAATAGGATGGCTGGGTCTTAAGGTCTAATTTGCCAAGAAACTGAAAAGTGTTTTTCAACATGGCTGGCCATATCATTTTTCATTCTCTAGTAAAATAAAGAGTTGTATTTGGTCTATGACCTTCTTGTCTTTCAGTGGCATCAGTCCACTTAGTCTTAGTCATTCTAACAATGTAAATATTTCTGAATTTCTTATGTATCACAATATTTTGGCATTTAAAAAAGTCTTTCTGGCTGGGGAAACACTAGGGTATCTTCCCAATACTAGCCAATTCTCTTTTTTTGGTACCAGGGATCTGGGGGATCTGGTCCTTGTGCTTTCGAGGCAGGGGCTGGAACTACTGAGCTAAATACCCAGCCCTGTAGCCAATTCTTTAAGAAAACAAAAGGCCCAGCCGGGAGCATGCCTTTGATATGCAAATTAACAAATATGGAGCTGGACCTTCTGTCTGGCTTGTTCCTTCCCCTGCCTTAATCATCCTAGGACAGTGGTGGCAAACCTATGGCACACATGCTACCAGTAGGCACGGGGGAGCCCTCTCTGTAACGTGTGAGCCCTCTCTGTAATGTGTGAGCCAAGTCTCCACAAATTACACGTCGGTATGCATGTGATAGCAAAGATCACGTGACTTGTGCAAAAGCATGCCAAAAGCAAACTTTTACCTTTCAATAAAAAGCTGTTTGTATAATTGAAAGCTCTGTTATTTTGTTTTTCTTTTAAGATGAAAGATGTTTTTTCTCATCCAAAACCTCAGAATTCAGGTTTAATCAGTACTCAAATTTTGCATTGCAGTTTGGGCACTTGGCCTCTAAGGGGTTTGCCATAACTGTCCTAGGACCAGTACCAGGCAAGTGGAGATGACCTTTGCAGCTCAACCTTGTCAAGATTATTCAAATTTAGCCAATCGTAAACTATTCATTCTGTGCTGGGGTGCCTTCCTCATGCAAAACCTATGCACAGGCCTACACTTTCCCTTTACTTCACAAACGATGTTTCTTCTGTGCCTCCTGGTTTCTGAACCGAACTGATTAGTTCATAAAAGAATATATATCTTCTGGATATAAGTGTTTCATTGTAAATATGTTTTACAAATATTACCTAGCAGTTTCTGAGCTTTTGTTTTCCTAACACCATCTTTTAAAGAGCAAAAATTTAGATTTTGATGACGTTTAATATATCAATTTCTTTATGGTTCGTGTCTTCTGAGTTCTGTCTAAGAAGTTTTTTTTTTTGTACCGGGAATTGAACTCGGGTCTTTGTGCTTGCAAGGCAGGCCACCAAACCGCTGAGCTAAATCCACAGCCCATGTCTAAGAAGTCTTTACCTACTCAGTTACCTTGATGTTTAAAGAATATTTTACTGGCTATAAAGTTCTTGGTTGACAGCTTTTTGCTTTTTTATCCAGCACTGTGAAATGCTGTCACGCCAATGTTTTCTGCTATCTGTCTCTGGCTGTCCTTCTTTCTCTTCCTCTCTTACTGGGCTCCAAACCCAGTGCCTCAACATAGTAAGTTCTCTACCACTGAGCTATAGTGTAAGACCATGGCCTCCATTGTTTCTAGTAGAAGTCAACGGACAAGTGTGCTATTGTCTCTTCGCACATAATATGTTTTTACTTACTAATTTCAAGATTTTCTCTTCTGCTTTCAGCAGTTTCATTACAATGTACCTAGGGGTGGTTTTCTTTATTTGGTTTCATGTTTGTTAAGCTTCTTGGATCTGTAAACAAACATTCTCCACCATACTTGGGAAGTTCTCAGTCATTATTTCTTCAAAAAATGTTTTTGGGCCAGCCATGATGAGACACACCTATAATTCTAGAACTTCATTTGAGCCTAGCTTGGACAATTTAGCAATCTAGAGAGACCCCACCTCAAAAGAGAAAAAAGAAAGAAAGAAAGAAAGAAAGAAAGATAAAGGGCTGTGGACATAGCTCAGTGTGAAAGCCTTGGGTTCAATCCCCAAGAAAAAAAATCTATCTCCTCTTTCTGGGACCACAATTACATTCATGTTGGACCATTTGATGTTGTATTTCAAGACTCTGGAGTTTTGTTCCATTTTCTTCAGTTTTTTTCTCTGTTCTTTCTCTTGGATAATGCTATCTTAAAATTCCTCATGGTCTCTTCTGTCATCCCTAATCTGTTATGATTAAGCCCCTCTTTTGAATTTTTCATTTCACTTACTATGCTTTCCAACTATAGAATTTTCACTTGCTTTTTTCCTAGTTTCAGCTCACCTGTTGAGGAGTCCCATCTGTTCACCCATTAGTGTCACATTTTTCCATTACTGTTTTGAACATATTTGTAAGAGCAGCTTTGAAGACTTTGTCCATTAAATTAACATTTGGGCCTGCATGGAGTAACTTTCTATTTATTGCTTTTTTTTTTTCTCCCAGAGTATGGGTCACATTTATCTTCCTTCCTCTTTGTATGTCTAAATAATTGTTAGTGGAAAATTGGTCATCATAAAAAAAACACAGTGTAGCACTCTGGAATCTATTTCATTTGTCTGGGGATTGCTGGTCTTGTTTCAGTAGGCAATCAACTTTCTTAAACTCAAACTGAAAAATCTTACATGCCCCTCCCCAATCTGTCCTATGATGTGCAGCAGCTGATGTTTCTGATTGTTTAAAAAACTTTTTTTGTTGTTGTTGCACTAATGGAGGTTGACTTTAGTGCCTTTGGACCCAGCTATATCTATAGTCCTTTCAAAATTCTGAGATAGGATCTTGCTAAATCTAAATCGCTAAGTTGCCTAGGCTGGGCTTAGACTTGCAGTCCTTTTGCCTGAGCTTCTCAAAGTGCGTGGATTACAGGAATAAACTGCTGCATCCATTTTTGCTTGGACCCCCCCACCAAATTTATAGTTGCTGCTAATTCAGCCTCACACTCTGGAAGTTCCCCCTGCACCTGTTTAGTTTGGCAGTCTGCCAAAAATTTGAGCCAAATTTATATTCATATTTGGTTGTTAGGTCCCTTAGTTTTGGAGCTTCTCACCTAAATTTCCAGGTGCTTTGCCAGACCTCAGTTCTGTCCTCTGATGCCTCAAACCAGGAAGACTTCTGTCTTCCACTGCCTACACTGTAAAGGTTGGGAAATGGACTCAGTTGAAGGCACAGTAAACAGAAAAATCTTACCAGGTGCAGTTCTATCTTTCTAGGAGAAATCTTCTAGTTTTTCCCTTTTTGTCATGTATTTATGAGTACGTTAGTGATCA